AGGGCAGGGGGGTGGGGTGGGAGGATTATGAAGAGGATGGGGGAGGGTGGACAGAGGGTCTTGGGAGGGAGGGAGAGAAACGGTGAGAGGGAGAGGGAGATGGAGAGGGAGAGAGAAGGTGCTGCTGCATGGCAAAGTGAGTATAATGGAAGGCCGTATTATAGTATGAACCTGTTGTTCTTGGACATAATTGAGGAAGTCCTCGCCCCAGCAATGTTCGTGAAGACGCCGGGACACAGCAAGGTGAGATGCATGAAGCTGATATAATTTTTATTTTCCTGTGAAATGAGGGAGGGGGTAGAGGGCAGTGCAGATTGAATCTTCATGAGAAGAGCAGCAGGGGCTCTGCTTAAATAGCAGCAAACCGTAGCAGCACGGACAGTAGTAGTTGTGTGCGGAAAGAACGATGCAATGGGGTTCAACATTGTTCCTCTCCCATCTGAAGAAAGATGATGATCAGATGGCAGGACGTCTGATATTATATAATATTATTAATATATGATAAGATAACACACACACACACACACACAAACAGAGAGAGAGAGAGAGAGAGAGAGAGAGAGAGAGAGAGAGAGAGAGAGAGAGAGAGAGAGAGAGAGTGGGATGAAATATTCCATGACGGTGACAGATGCACTTGTGCCAAATCAAAATGCTCAATAAGTAGCTCTATAATTTATTGTTGGCGACGAAGGATATTGAAGTTTCGAGGAATGGAGGAATAGGAGGAGGACATCTTGGAGTCTGGTGACTTTTATTTTAATTATTTTTTTCCTTTGTTTTTTTTTTTCAATTTAGAAAGCCTGTTTGTCAAATATTCAAGTAAGAACGAATTTAAAGAAAACGAAAGGAGGACTCGGCAGACGGGGTGCGGACTGTTTCATTGTCGAAAGAATCTCCTGTGGGATAGATTTAGAAACAAGTTCTGTTTGTCCACGACATACTGCACCGTAGACTTTTATTTGCGATCATGATATTATTCCTCCCCCTTCCCCCATGTCTATCTGTGTTCGATCTTTATTTTGTGGGCGGTTGAAGGGCAGCTGCCTGACAGTGTGGGTAAGTTGCAACTTACAGAGAAATTCAACGTTCAGCAATCTTTTTTTTTTTTTTTTTTTTTTTAAACGTTCAGCGATCTTGAACTGCTCTGTGGAAGAATTTAACTCTTATTTAGAACTCAGAAGTCGATGATGAATGGAGGAGATGGAGCAGATGGACCCGATGCACAAGACCAATTATGCATCTGAAGTACAAACGCGACAGCAAGCGTCGTTATTGGACGATGAAGTGACCCTTGTTTTCTGCCGGACAATGTCCTTCCCATGTGTTCGACTCTGTCGAGTCTCTATCCTTCCCCCCGCGAGTCTATGCTTTTATCTTCTGTGGACCTCCTCCATGCACACATGGATTTGAACCGGCGACCTCAGCCTCAAGAGCCGAGTTTTGTAACCGCCCTCCACGATCAAATTGTCAAGAAGCTGCATTTTTTAATACCCCTAGAGTTCCATGTCAAGAACCGCACCAGGCGTGTTCCCTTCATGTCAGCAAACTTTAAGATGAGAAAACAAGAATTTCAAACCGATTGCCGATCGCATAGGGTTATGCCCCGTGCACTCAGTGACTCAGGCATCCTGTGCTTGCTCACTGTTGTCTTGTTTTCTTTTGAATTTATAATCTTTCCAAAAGTGCAACGCCAGCCGGTCAGCGGTAATTCAAAGATAATATCATTCAGAATTCAGTTCCATGGGTTTGAAACTCTCGTTGACAGGTATTTTGACAGGTCAGCGGTGGCAAGCTGGGCAAGGGGGACTTTGCTTTGCCAGTTTCTGTTTGCAAGTGTGATTCTGGGATGGCCGTTGCGATTTCCTGAAACTTCCAGAAGTGCTCTGGCATCCGTTCATGACAGGAATCATTATGGCGGTCTCTGCAGTAAAAGAGTCGGTCGACTCGCACGTCATGAGACCGAACAAAATCCGTGTTGGCGTCTGCTCCATCTTAAGTTTGCCAGAAAGCAGGTGTCTGCGCACCACGCCCTACTGGACGTCACTTTCGTCAGCGCACCTTTTTCCCTTGTTTGGCTGGTGCACTGGCAGCGAGCCGTTGGTCCCCTCGAGCGCCGAGCTGCAAAAAAAGATATCAGAGGTAACAATGCGAACTTTTCTATAAAGTGGGCCCGCTCGAGGGGACCCTCGAGCGGTTTGAGCTCTGTGGTCCGTGGATGGGGCAAGCTGTTGCTATCCATGTCCCGCCAACATTTTGGTTATATATGAGTCTTCTCATAGGAGTGTGGCTGACTGATATGCTCATATTAGCAAGGATTCTCGTCATAGCCTGACAGCAAAAGAAGTGCACACTTACTATTGGCTTCGCCTGAATAGAACTTATGCCCAGCGAATATAATAGCTGCATTTGGGGCAACGTTCAATCTTAGGTACAGATAATGATTGGCATTAATTTTCTATTCAACAATCCAAGAGATGTATTTGGGCCAACATTCAGTCAGACTCTTATAGATACAGTGATGACGACAACCATTCTATTCAGGTGTCGACTGTAGTGGGCACCTTCTCTGGCTACCTCGGCGAACTGGAGGGTCAAAACAAAAAAAACAAAGAACACTTTCACGTCAAAAAAAAGACGTGGACAGTACTCTCAGGTTAAAAGCGACGTGGAGGTCGCTGAGCATATTCTGGTAGTATGCATCTTGTGAATTTTAATTTTTAAACCACCAGTACATTTCCGAGCCATTGTGCGGAAACACGCCGTGCATGCATGCACGTCAGGCAGGGCCTGAAATCCATCTGGTGGGCCAATCAGGCCTCGCATGCGACTCACTTTGCATGCCAGTGGACTGCATGTCCAGTGAGTTTCTACAGAATGACTGGGAAACGTAGTGCTGGATGAAACTTGAAAGTGCAAGGCACGTGCATTGCGCTCCACTCCCGCGGCAGGGTAATATCTGTGTTCGAACAGTTTCCGCAAGCCTTAGGGTAGGTGATTCACGAAATCTGAGTTTTTTTTTTTTTTTTGGGKGGGGGGGGGGGGGGGGGGGGAACCTTGAACCGTCTCTAATTGGTTGGGAACCATCCGTGCATCCGAATTTCGTTCTCACAACAAGATGGTGGATCCGCCCCTCCACGCCAAGTTTTTGCTGAAACGCCCATAAACTACCTCGTTTTTTTCCTAAGATTAAAATGAGAAAGCAAAAAAACAAACAAAAAAAATACGGTTTTTTTTTTTGGTTTTAGGCTAATGCAACAAACATGCTAACAATGGAATTATAATGATCTTTCAAACAAACATGACATTTCTCTGCAGTTTCAAATTAACCGCTTTTGAAAAGATGTCGACGGTTTTCTGGCGGAAMAAGTGTCAAAAAAAAAAAAAAAAAAAAAAAAAAAAGACTCGGTTAAACTGCCGTGTCACTATTAGAAGAGAAAATTGATCCTGCCACACGCAACCTTAGGGGAAAAAAAACGAAGTTCACAACTTTCACACTGAACCAAAAAAGAAGCTAGGAACATCAGAAAGAGTGGCTAGAACTAGAAGGAGCTAATACTAGAATTGGTTAATACTGTCCTTCGGGACATCCGTTAAAAATGGAACGATACACGGAATGAAGATCAGCATGGCCACTGCGCAAGGATGAAACGCATAAATCAAGAAATGGTCCAAATTATAATATCTAAAAAAAAAGAAAAAAGAATTGGCTAATACTGGAAGGTTAATGCAAAGTGTTCGGAATCCCCCAATTTACAGAGAAATTGAGAGAGAATTTCATTATACTCGCCATTTATATTATGTTATGGCTTATGTTTTTGTATGCGATCTATTATATACAAACAGAAAAAGAGAACGACAGAACTGTCTGGCAAGCAAGACAGCACAGAGCTTGAACTGGGAGGGGGTCATTTTTTTCCGACAGGGCATGGCCCTCCTTCCGTCGGCAGTACACCATCCACTCAGAGCTGAATAAAAAACATAGTGCACCTCAAATCCCTAAATAGAAAAATAACACGCAAGTGTTTTGTGCACCCCAAACCCTAAAAGGCGAAAGGTATGGTCCCCACATGAGTTTTCCACCCTCCAGTAACTGGAGTGAAGCAGGTGCATTGAACAAAGAGGCAAATCTTTGCACCACGAACTTGAAGGTTGAAAAGTAATCAAAAATTGGGATTGTCCAGTAGCGAGAAAAAGACCAGTGTTGGGCCGGCAACCGGCGCAACCGGCCGGTTGGACGGGTCCAGATGCAAGAGTCGACCCGGGGCCTCCAACCGAAATTCTTTTTGTTTGTCTTTTTCCGCAACTGAAATTCCGGTTGGCCTCAAAATCCCTTTTTTTTTTGTTGAAAGCAGGGTTTGGATGACTGCACTCGCCGAGAGGAATCAGAATCCGCAAAGAAAACTTTGAGCTCGAAACTTCCTTCCAGTGGTAGKTGGGGGGGSGGGGGGGGGSGGGCTACGAGTCTGGAGACGGGGGGCATGGGGGAAAACGATGAAGAAGAAGAGGAGAAAAGAAGAACCAAAAGGAGAAGAAACAGTGACTATGGCTAGGAGGGGTGAAAAGAAAGAAGAAGAAGAAGGCTTGGCTATGGCCACCAGAAGGGGAAGAAGGAAAACGCCAGGAGAAGGAGAGGATGAAGAACATGCGGAAGAGGAGGAGGAGGTGAAGAAAGAGAGGAGATGGAGAAGAAGAAGATGCAGAGGAGGAGAACAAGAGTAGGAGGCGGAGGTAGGGTAGGGGTTTAAAAAATGACAGGCGGTGCGGGTGGTATCTGTGTCAACCGGCAAATGAAAAGAGAAAACAAAGGCGAGTGGAGGAGCAAAAGATTAGGAGAGGAGAGCAGGATGAAAAAGAAGAGGTGGAGGAGGACAAGAACAAGTTGAAGAGGAGAACAAGAAGAGGAGAAGAACAAGAGGAAGAGGAAGAGGAAGAGGCAGAGTGGTTTGCGTGCCGACAGGGGGGGTTGCATGTCGATGCGGGGAAAGGTCGACTTTTCCCTCGGGGCAAAGAGAAAGAGAAAACAAAGGGGTGTCGAGGAGGAAAGGATGAGAAGAGGAAGAGGAGGGAGGAGAAGTAGAAGAAGAGAAGAAAAAGAAGACATGGAGGGAGCAAAGAAGAAGCAAGATGAAGAAGAAGAAGAAGAAGACGAGGAGCAGGAGGAGGAGGAGGAGGAAGAAGAAGAAGAGGAAGAAGAAGAAGAAAAGTGTTTTCCCTTTCCAGCAACTGTTTTTCATACAGCTTCGCTCCCGAATCACGTGTGTTTTTTTGCTTTGCACTCCTTGCTAACATGCATGGGAGCGATATGCTGCTGCGTAAGAGTAAAGAGGCATTTGGTTCTCCTTAATCTCAATCCCCCCCCTCTTCTCACTCTCCTGCTATCGGTACAAGCCCCTCATTTGCTTCAAGGAGAGGGAAAAACACTCCTTCCCGCTACTTAGAAAAGCCTTTCTTTGTATTGGACACAAGAGAAGGTGCCGCCAGAGACGAAGGGGCCAGACCAGCGGCCGGAGTTCGAACTCAGGTCGGAATTCAACTGTTTAGGAGTGTGCCAGCTGAGTTAGGCCAGTTGATCGCATAGGTGGTGTCGCAAAATGAAGATGCATGTTTCTCACACTGGGAGATGTCTCAACAAGTTCGACTCGTTTTATGTTAGACATTTGAATTTTGTTGAGGCAAAAGCTGTGCGAACCCTCTGCATCCAAGTTTGCTACAGGCAGAAGTGGATTGGTTACTGCTTGCCCTTTATGCTTGTTTCCGCAGGCTCCATGACCTTCACCATAGACCAAATATAGCTCGCGAGTGGGCACCTGTCAGAATCTGAAAAGCAACGCAAGCCACCAATTGTTTTTTTTAACGACGGCGCCACCGTTGTCGACGCCCATCCCCGGAGCCCTGGCATGGATTCCGGATCCCCAGGTCCAAAACCCCCCGCCCCCCACAAAAAAAAAAATCCAAAAAAACAAAAGAAGGGGGAGGGTGCACATCGTTGTCGCCATTTTCTGCATTTTTCAGAACAATGACCTCCCAGAACCCCCCGCCTGCTGGAACCGGGGTGGTCCTTCGCATGGAGGTGCGGGTTGCTGATGCGGGACCGGGGGTGCGGGGGTGGGGGTCGCAGCAGGGGTCGGGGTGATGTGGGTCTCTCTCTCTCTCTCTCTCTCTCTCTCTCTCTCTCTCTCTCTCTCTCTCTCTCAGCAGGGGTCGGGGTGATGTGGGTCTCTCTCTCTCTCTCTCTCTCAGAGCGTGCGGGGGCGGGGAAAGGATGGTGCGTGTGGAGATCGGCGTGCAGAGCCGGAGGTGGCTGGCAGGGGCTGCAGGTGCGAAGATCGGCGTGCGGGGGCAGGGATGGCGGGTGCAGGGATCGGCTTGCAGGGCCTGGGGTGGCTGGCAGGGGTCGGGGCACGGGGATCAGCGGGGCTGGCGGGTTTCCCCGCTGCCGGGGGTGGCCGCCAGGGGTGTAGGAGCAAGGGTGGGGGTGGAGGTGCAGGGGTTGGGGCAGGGCCGGGGGGTCAATGGGCGGGGGCGGGGGCGGGGGTCAGGGATCCCCGCGCCGGGGGTCCGAGGGTCAAACCCCAATGGGCGGGGGCAGCGGTCGGGGATCCCCGCGCCCGGGGTCCAAGGGTCAAACCTCAACCCCAGCTCGGCCCCAGGGGATCCCGGCGTGACAACCCTGGACAGGCGCCTGCGCCGTCTTTTCCAGATGGCATCTTGTAGGCGTAAAGTTTCTTTTCAGCAAGGCTGGGGTCGTCTACTAGCGGTTGAAGCCACATTGCACAATGGGAGTGAAGTTAGAAACTTTTAAAGTTTCTAAGTTATAAAACTCTTAGTTGGAAAATGAGACCGCTGCATATTCATATTTTTCTGTGCAAAAGTAGGACCAATAGGCTAATACAAAAGGGCATTCTTGCTTGCACTAGGCCTTTCCATAAATGAGTCTGCGTGCATTCACACCCAAATGCACTAAAAAAAGGACTGGTGCAAATATGATGAAAAGACCAATTGTGAATGTGTCAATCAACCAAATTGAAATTTGAAACACTCCTAGGGAATGCGCACACTTCGACATACATGGACGTATACGAGCATCATTACATCCAAATTCAACCAAAAATGACACAGTTGTAGAGTGAGCATAACAGAGACATCAGCACTTCTTTTCCCCCCCTTTTCCCCTCCTCTTCCTTGCTATTTTGGAGAACTGTGTCGTTTTGATATTTACCACAATGAAAAAAAAAAAAAAAAAAAAAAAGACATGCAGCGATTGCTTCTCAAGTCCCTCAATGAAAACCTTATGGCAAAGTCGAGATCTCCAAACAACATGGGGGGAGGGGGAGGGGGAGGGGGAGGAAGAGGGGGGAAAGTTCACGCCGAGGACAGAAAGGCAAGAGGCTAAGGTCAAAAATGAATGTGTAATTATTTGTATACATCTTTGTGTACGGCCTTTGGAAAAGTTAAGTTTGTCTTTTGACAAATCATTCACCGTATGTAGTCTATCCATACAGATTATCCAATGTATGTAGTCTCTCCAGAGATGATATCCCAGCTATGCACACTGGACCTTCTCCATCCGTATCCCTCCCTCCCTTCCTTGAGGCAGGGCCCCCTGATGGTTCAGACATTTAGGAACTCTTTTTTTTCCTCCTTGAATGAATGAAATCTCGCCCCGCCGATGCCCTCACGTTTCCGACCTTTGCTGCTTTGCAACTCGGTCCATCATTCGTTCATTTCCACGCGTCGATTCAACAGCATCCTCACCATCGTCATCGTCGTCGTCCTCTTCGCCGCCGTCTCCCCCCTCCCTGAACACTGTATCCTTGAACACAAACCAGGGAAAGGTGTAGTTGCCCAGCACGAAGAAAGCAAGGAGAACTCCACTGAAGATTCACAGTAGGGACCCGAGCCGATTAAAGAAAGAAAGTATCAGCATCGTCATTGTCATCATCGTAATTCACACACACACACACACACACACA